GCAAAACGACAGGTGGGGACCAGAAACACATTTTGGTATCAGAAATGCCCCTGGGACGTGTCTTTAAGCCGAACTTCCTCATGGCAGAGCGCCCCCACCCCCGTCTTCTCTCTCCACACACCCCACACATGACTCCTGCAGGCTCTCGAGTGAAAGTGAAAGTGAAAGTGAAACTGTCTGCTGAGCTCTCAACGTTAGTTCTCACTCAGTGAAGCTCTTTTCAGATTAAAAATACCTTTGAGGAAATATATTTTCATATGCCAAGTAAATTGCATCATAGCAGCCCCCCCTCCCCCTATCGAGCGCAACCCCACCCCCCTCACCGAAATAGGCGAGACAGATGTGGAAGGTGGTTCTTAAAGAGACAGAGCCCAATTTCAAGGTGTTTAGAAGAAGTGATGAGAAGTTTATTTTCTATTTAAACATAAAAACAGCATTTTAATGACAACTAAAGGTGACATAGATACTTTATTATGGTATAGTATTTAAATGTATGCCTGAGAAACACATAATATTGCCCCTTTAATGTGGTGCAGCTGATATCATCAATACAATATTTAGGAATAATATCTGTGCAGTTGCATGTTTTTCCTAATATTTTTGAGGAAAAGGCTTGCCTAATTTAACAGAACCACGTTCTGCACACCTCATTAAAACATCTAATAGTTACAGAGTTCAACAGCAAAATACATGATTTTATAATAAAGGATTAAAAATATATAATCCAGTTGTTTCTTTATACATATCATCATTCAATGGTGTTAACACAGATCAGTGTTAAAAACATTTCTGGAAGTTATTAGCCAATATTAGATTGCACAGCAATTTATACATACCTACCAAATTAAACAGTTTTGTCTTTGATGTTATGTTTTATCTTTAAAAAACGGGTTGTCCAAATAAAATAATGAACAATGTAATTCGTTTGAAACAGAATACCAGAAGTCTTCCTCATATACCTGCTAATCTGCTGACAACAATGAGGAACACCTGTTTATGTTAATGAGGAGCTGTGGACTGAAGCAGTTGTAGGAGAGTCCAGGGGTATACTCCACTGGAAAATTTAGTAAAACATCAAATCCATTAAATAATATCCATGTGAAGAGCTTATGAATGGTTTTTTGGGATCAATAAAATTACATAAAAACAGTGTTTTTTGAAGTCAGAACACCAAAAAAAACAGACTTTATTTTAAACTTTATTTGAGATCATAACTGAAACTTCCATTATCCTTATTAGTTAGTAGTTAGTCTTGACTTCATCATATGATAATTTTATCATGAAATATCTTCTGCATCTCATGTAGTAACAAATCAGATGAGAAAGCAACAGTTGTGAAGTTACCTTCATAAACCTGATTAACCAGTGGTTATTCTACAGACTAAATCAACTATACTATAAAGTTATAAAATGTTTTTTTTTTCATTTGTGGTGTTCCGTAGATGGACGATGCCCACACTGCCTATATTTGTTTGTGATTGCCCATGTTTTCACTGCTGCGACCAGAGAGGTTTGGGTTAGAAATAACTGCTGAGGTGAGGCTGAGGTGTTGCTGCCTTATTAGATCCTATTTATATTCATAGACWCAAAAAAAGACAAAAAATCCACTTACGAGGCAAAAACCTTTTGGCATCTTTACAAATATGTATTAAAAATGTTGCAATGTACAATTCATCAATTTGACACTTGTTTTCTGTATAAAACAGGAAATACAATCATCAGGAGACTATACTTCTAAAATATTAAAGTAGTTGACTAAGGATTCAAAGCAATAGAAGTGCTATTAATCCCCTTCCTCCAAATTTCATTCCTTGTTTTCCTTTCCACCATTTCTTCATTCTTACCATCTTCCTCTTAAACATAAACATATCCCTTAATCTCTGTTCTTCATCTGCCCCATCCACCTCTCCCTCCTTAGTTTCTCTCCGTTTGCTCATTTCCTTATCTCTCTGCTTGTGTTCATCTCTGAGCTTCTCACTGATGCTGCGCTGTTCTCCGAAGGTTTTCCGCGCCGT